GTTTACAACAGCAGGAACAGTGCCACTATAGCCACTTTAATCCTGTGTCCTGACCATTGTCATGTTACCAAATCTAAAATAATAGCATCATTTAGGTATGCTTGTAATGGGCAATGCCCAAATAGCCTGAATGTTCACAATGATGTTAATAAGTTGACCAAAAGTACACTTTTCATAGCAAGGTTTTAGAGCTATTTGAACTACTGTAAATGTTTAAAGATGGAAGGTGGTATTCCTTTGCAGAATGCTGGCTATTTAGACCAAAAGGAGCGGCAGTCAGACTAAGCATGGATTATTTTTCTGTGCCCTCCATCGAGAATGTTTCAGGATAATCCTTTTCCTTTTGATAGGTTGTTGTAGTAAGTCCATGAATGTTTGCTGGGCGGCCTTACTACAGTGGGTAAAGGGAGTTCTGAAACATTTCCCAGCTCTGTTGTGTTTTCAGAAAAGTTGGGGTTGGTTTGTTTGTTTTGTTTTATTTTGTTTTGGTTTTTTTCCCAATGGTAGCTGTTTAGTTCTTCTATGAACATTTAAAATCATAGCGTTGTTTTATCTGACTAGATAATCACTTAAACCAGATTATGATTAAAGAATCATTCAAAGGTGCTTTTGGCCTAGAATGCCTTAGACATATTATTCCAAATGTTCTGAGATTTCTTCAATATTGGTTTTCAGTCTTTGAATTACAGATTTCTTACTTAACTCATCATTTGAAGCAGAATTTTAGAAAAATCAAGACATTTGTGGATTAAGGCAGATGGGGACCTGTATTACGGCTATTGTGTGAAGTCTCGAAACAGGATTGTACTAACAGGGATTTGCCAGATTTAGATGATTCTCTCTGTAGGTGAAATACTGTTATTCTTTATCAAGCTGGGAAATTTTGTGCAATATTTAAATCTCCATTACTAAATGATGACGCAACGTCTTTTTTACGGTTTAGGAAATGGAGAAGCCATTTGTTTACAGGCAGTTTAAGGATTAAAGTAGTGAGTTACAGAGATTTTAATATTGATCTCCAAGGTGAACACTAGTGTATGACTGGTTGTGTGTTTGGCCCTGAAATCTGTGGAAATAGTGAAAGTACATGAGGGTATTTTTTTTTTTTTTTTTTTAGTGTGTGTATATACATATGGTTTTCACAATTTATGTTCTGATGAAGAGAATGGTAGATACTTAAATGGATAAAAATTTTGTTGTTATTGCTCAGGAAGAAAGCAGCTTGACCTTTAGAGAATATTTCAGTCTGTCAATAGCTGCTTTCACATTTCAGTGCATTTACTTTTCCTTTGAGTTCCAATGGTTGAAGAGAGAATGAAAGCAGAGCTATTTTTTAGGTCAAGTTTTTTAGATGTGAACTTTGGTACAAGAAGCTCAAGACCATTGAAAATCTTTCCAGCTTACCGTACATTAGGGGCAAGACAAGTCTACCGTAATCTTTGTTATTGCACTGTTGAATCTTGGGAGTGGGTGAGGATGAAACAATTTCTTAGAGTAGTGGTATGTAGACTGAAAACTGGTTGACACAGTTACAAGAAAATAAATAATTATGATAGTCAGAATAGTAATGCTAAATAAAGTTGAGTTAGAAAAAAAAAAATAGACCTGTCCCTTGACACCTCCTTAAAATAAGATACCTGAATTACTGTTTTGAAGAAGGAAGAAAATAGCAGCCTGTGAGTGTCTGCGTTAGGGCTGCAAAATGTGGTTTGCAGACTTTGGTGACAGATTAAAAATGTGGAGTTGTGAACACAGTAAAGATGTTTGGAGAACTTCATCACAAAGATTTAGTTGTGATAAAAGAAAAAAAAAACTGAGAAGGTATTTGTAATCTGACTTCCACATTTTAGATAATCTCTCTCTTTTTCTTTGTTTTTCCAATTAAAAAAAAAAAAACCCAAACACAAACCCCCAGTGTTTTCTCTTCAGGTGTTGTGTGCGAGGAAGCACAGTGATCAAAAGAGATGTTGAAGTTCCTGTGCTGCTGCTGTTTTACTGTAACGAAGGACATGAAAGCTCATGCTTGCCTAATGCTTTGAATGTGAGAAGTAAGACTGATGCCAGCTAGAGCTAGTCTTTGTGGCTTGAATTATGTTCATGCTGCAAGGAGGAAGGAATTAAGTTTGGTTTTAGCTTCAAGTTCCTCAGAAGTGCCATCTCTCTAACCGAGTTCATTACAGACTTTCAGAAGTTCTCACTGAGGGCGCTGCTTAAGCAGGGACTGAACACAAATGAGTGTCTCTTATGAAGAAAATGGGGTTTCTCTGTTATGAAGAAAATGGGCTTTGATCTGTTTACTAGCTTTTCTGTGTTACTCATGTAAAACGTAAGTAGATGTTTCTCTGAAAAAACCTGGACCTTTTTTTCCTGATTCCAGTAAGACTTAGGCCTAAATGTTAGTTCATTTGGTTAATAGCTTTAATAGCTCCTTGCTTTTCTTCATGGATTGATCTTTTTACTGAGTTGGAAATCATTTTGACATGTATGTGACAATCTTTTACTATATCATGTTACCAAACCATAGTTTATTGGTACTTAATGCTTTAAATATTGAAACTTTTCCTTCTGAGGCCATAACCTAAATACGGGGAGAATTCATGTGGAGCTGCTTCTAGAAGTTTTAGTCATGCCTTATTCATTTCCTATTTCATATTTTGCAGTTCTCTCTTTTATGATCTTTCTAAAGAATTATTTATTGTATTTCAGGGATTTGGCGGCACGCAGTCCTGACTCTTGTCCTCATCAGTAACATACCTCCTTTCCTGGTTTCCTGTCTTTTCTGTTGATCTAAGAGATTTTGTCTCTTGGTTTTCCATTAATCGTTGCAAATTCACCTTATTGTGAACAGATTGATAACAAGATGTGTAGGCCATTGGTAAAATCACTAATTAAGTAACATTTTTTTAACAGGTCTTAAGTTAAATGATTGCTCAGAATTAATAGGCTTGTTAGAAATTTTGGGCTGATCTATAAAACCACAATTGTGACCTGCCTTTAGGTATTTGATTCCTTCCTGCTTGAGCGTAGAATGTCACTGACTGCAGGAACTTGGTGCAAGCTGCATAGTTGGGTTCTGTACCTGGAGAGGACTAGAGCTATGACCAGAAAAGTTGTGGGGAGGATGTGAATGCCTACTTTAAAATGGGGGAGAACCTTCCTTGACGGTGTGATACTTCTGTGTGTGTTTCTAGAACGAAATGGAGCTTTAGGCTTGGAGTTAAAATTCGAGTGAGTTAGTGTGTGCAAGGTGCAAATTGCCAAGGCTTAGTAGATTTTAAGTTAGAAAACCTTTTCTGCCTGTTTTGGGGTTCTGCAGTATGGAAAGAATAGCTTTTTAGGTCTTGTAATGTGTAATATTCTATGTGTGGTTGTCTAATTCAACTAAAACAGGTTATGCTTGATAACCAAGTGTAAACATGGTTACATATTGGGAAAGAAACACTTGTGTTTTACTGCAAATAGTTCTACTATGGGCAAGATGTTTCCAGTACAAAAATCACACAACTAGAAAATTGCCATTTTTATCTGGAAGCAGCTGTGGCTTATATTTGGTGGAGACATGTATATGTATCTCTTTATCTCCAGACAGTCTTTGATTACCATGTTCCTGATGAAAACAGTGAATTAACTAAAGAAAATGTGAGCTATACTGAAAAACAAACATGAGTACGCTGTTGTCCAATTTTGACGAAACTAGCAACAAAGTCAAGTAAATCACAGTTTTTTGAACATGTGATTCCAGAAGTGTGAATATAGCACAAATTCTACTGTGTTGTCTTGCACCTTGGAAATAAGCCTTTCTCATGCTTCATTTGCAGGATGTTGAATTTGGATAATGTTGCTGTTGGCAATGATAGATTTGATTTCCCTGGTTCCTCTTTGATTTCATACTCGATGTCTTAATTAAAATCTTGCTGAGTGTTTGTCTTCATCCTAAATTTGAGTTAGTGTTTGGAGACATGGAGCAGTTCTTATCTAGGAGTTTTAACATCTTCTTTCTCAATCAATCCCTTGAGAAGACACTACTTCGAAGGTTTATAAACATTGAGGGGAGGGAAGGGAGCCCCAGTCTTCACTCAAACATTTGTTTGATGAAGTAGGTATTTAAGGAATATTTTAGCTATGTGTACAACTGTTGAGACTTTATCTTTCATTAAGTTAATATCATCATAAAATCAATGAGGGAGAATATTTGGGAGGAACCAAAGTTACAGGGATGAAAACTACAGATGGTCAGAGGCATACCTAGGAAACAAGGCTTCTTTTCTTCTCTATAGAGCAACGTGCCAAGTTTATAAGGGATGGTTCATCATTTCCAAAAATTTGCAGAAACTGAAGAAAATGTCCTGTTTCCCTATATGAAACCTATTCATTATAAATGATTCACCAAAATTCTCTAAACTTTCTGTGCTTTGAAAAAGAGACTCACGACTGGTCAAGGGGAATCACTTTAAGTTCAGGTGATTTTTTTTCTTCGTGATGAAAGTCTAGTTAGACATCCTGAGTTTCTTATTCCTTATTGTAAGCTCTGTATAGGATTTGAATTTGTAATAAATAGGTTTTCTGAGTATCCACTAGTCCAGAGCTGTGAAACATGAGCAGAATTAATTTTTCTTACAACTTCTCCTTGATTAGTATGATGTGTTAAAACTGAAGAGCAGGATGATGTTACCATTTCATGTCAAAATGACATAGAAGAAGAGGGGCATGATTATGCTGTGTTTTCCAAATAGTTTTCTATTTTCTTTTCAAATAGTTGAAAACAACTGAGAAAGTGTTCATCCTATCCATCTAACAGGTGTTCCAGAAAGAAATAGCTTTTTACTGCTATCACTTACTTCTTTGTATGCATTAAGATATAGTTGCTAATCATATAATTGTTAATTTTATAAAATTAACAAATGTATAAATTAAAAATTTATCAAGTTTAATTTGATCATGTATTGAGGGTTTTTGAGTTTCTTCAAGACTAAGCCATTCAGCTTTCCTAGCTTCCCATCATGATCGCTGACTGCTGGCTGGGTGAAGAACAGTGTGTTGGCTCGTTTGAGCTATGTGTTGCTGACTGTGATGCATATGCTGATTGGTCAGGTAACGACACAAATATACCAACGTTTTCATGAAAATTGTAGGAAATAAATGTCTTTAATGCTGCCGTATCTTGCTGAAATTAATGAGTCCAGAAGTTATTTGGTGAGGGAGTAGGAGTGAACAGAAACAAATAGAGAGCATGATCGCATGAAACTTTGTTCCGTGTTTTCTAGTATGATACTAAATAAAATTCAAGTTACTCATGTAACTAATATGGAAAGTTTTAGTCTTAATGCAGAGAAGTTGTCCAGGGTAAAGCATCTAAGAGTGGACTCCATGATGGAAAATATTTAGTTTTAAAAGTACTTAATCTTCCATAGTGAAGTGAGAGAAATGTATCGGACATCACACCTTGTATTTCAAGGCTTAAAAGAGTTGTTGAAAGATGGAAACAGCAAGAAGCTACCGGTTTTGAGAAGACTTGAAAGATGAGGATCACAAATTTGAGAACTCAAATTTGTTTTGCTTTGACTGTGATCTTGGCTGCTACTAATGGTATTTCATAGTCTTTGTTTTGGACTAGGCAGATGACAGGGAAAAACATACTTTTTTTTTTTGTTTTCTCTTTTTTTTCTTCTCCCAGCCCTCGCCCCCCCCCCAAAAAAAAAAAAGCAAAAAAAAAAGCACCTTTATTTGCACAAGTTTATAGGAAGTACGAGAAGGCAGAGCCAAGACTAGGAAGTGCGTACGGATACCCATCTCTTTTTGACAAATTAACGTGCTGTGTCTGATATCACACCTTAGATCGAAAGGGATTTTCAGCTTTAAAAGACGCTTACCCAGGGCAAGACTGGAATGAGGGTGTTTTCACAAGACTAAAACTGGTAGCTGATATGTCAGACTGAGAACCAATAGGGGGGTGTAGTGGCAGGCACATAAATGGGTTGCAGTGAATGTTCTTTGAGCTTGAAGCCTTCCTGAATCACAAATTATGAAAAGATTGGGCATACCTCAAACATAAGAAGACAGGTTAAAATTTTAGAGGTATGCATAGCATGCGGAACCTACTTTCACATGGCAATGTGGTTTATTAAATGCCATGTGTACCTTTGTATGCTGCTTCTTTGTTCCTACCTTGGAAAGTACTTTTTATTAAAAAATTATTTTAATGTCTTACCAAAACAAAACTTAAATAAATATATGTCAAGAAGTCTGCTTACCAGACTATATGCACTACCAAATACACTTCAATGTTTATGAACTGAAATAGGCACAGTGAACTAAGCACAATTACCAGATTTAATCCTAAATTTTCTGTTTCCTATCATTTTTAAGGTATTTTTCTTAACTAGTTAATATATATTAAAGGTTGTTCTTTGGGTTAAGTCTTTTAGAGATTGCGCAAAAACCCTAGCATTCATTCTATAGAGAATATATGAAGTTTCTTTAATGTGTGTAACTGTCTTGAAATACATATCAAAATGCCTTTTTTTTTTCTTCTCCTGATATTACGTAATACTTTCCTTACATAATTATGGATTTTGGAACAAATTCTATGTTACATATGCAAGGAAACAGTTCCATAACTATACTAATGTTTGCATAATTAACAAGCTGCTTGCCAATTTTAACTGACAAATTCCAAGTCGCTTTTGCATGAGGGGAAAAAACATAAAAAATGGTAACTTCTATTAGTTTTTCCTTTCGTACTTCTTACAGGTGTTGAAACTATTTCTTTCTAATTTGGAAGTAAGTTTATGGGTTTTTTTTTTCTGATAGGGAGTGCTATAGAGAATAGGAGGGCTGGCTTCCTCCACTCATGCTCTGGGGCTGTTTTGGGGGCTGCCCTCAAGCTCTGCCAACATATCTCAGTCCTGACTTGTAAGATCTCCTGCTGCTGCCGCTACAGTTCTGGGCAGCTCTTCAGAAGTGACTGCCAGCAGCACCGATTTCATTCAACCGGTGTGGTAGTTTTCTGGTGTGCACAAATCGGGGCTGAGGAAGGACCACCAAAACTTATTTCCACTTGTGACCTAAGGCAAGGTTTGAACTCCAGTTTCTGTTGAAAAATGGCAAGTGTGCCATTGGCCTTTTGTGCCATTCAGCTGCATGGATTTAATGCTTTACGTTGCTACTGAGTAAAATGTTGTCTGAATGTAAGCTGAAATCACTTAGTCATTTTAAGATCCTGAAATGAAAGGGTCATAATAAAAACATGAAAGAGAATAATTGAGGTGCCACTTATAAAGTGAACACAAAAGTGTATGTATGTGTATATATACATATCTATTATTCCAGTTTCTAAGTGGCCTTGTGTGTTTTCCTCACAGTATCTATATATAATTTATGTGTAACTGTTTGTATTAAAATGTCCATATGCAGCATTCTCTCATTTCCATTTAAAAACTGTGAATCACAACAAAAATGCTATAAGAACATCTAAGGTAGATAATTAAAGTATAATTAAGTTTAAATGCCTTGGTGAAGGAATATAAAAATATTTAAATTCAACAGGCTAGTACATTTGCAGTTTTCTTTTATTAGGTGTGAAATCTAAGAATCCCCTGCCAACTCTTGAGGGCTCAATCCAGAATGTTGAATTGAAGTACTGCGGCACATCATTGGTCAAATGCGCCTCTGGGACCGTGGGATCAATAAAAATTTGTGCCAAAGCCCCAGGTATGTGCAGCTGGACCATGTAAAACTTTATTGCCTGTATAGGAGAATTGGCCTTGCTTTTTACAAGGAGAGTTACTGAAACAAGAATTTACTCATTGTTCCTATGAATCAGAGAGGTTTTTTTGTATTCTGTTTTGGGGTTTTTATTATTATTATTGTTAAGTGTGCCAGGATGATCCAGTCTGGCCCAAGCATAGTCAATTTTTACACTGAATAAAAACGTAAAGATGATGTTTTTTTCAGCTGGACGAATATTAATCTAAAATCACTAAAAACGGAAATAATTCTGCATTTTCATATTACACAGAATATTTGCATTTTGCTTTATTTAAAGCATAATTTTGATGTATTCTGTTTATTGTTTAATGTCTTATTTTCCATTAATGCTACAAGTAGGTATTTTGCTTGTGAAGTATTTGAGGGCACTGTAATAAATAGTTTTTAAATTTCTTTAGTAGAATTTTTCTTGAAGAACATGCAGGAACTTTTCCAATCAATGTCTATGATCTCCTGATATGTAAATGATTTTTAAAGAAATTGTTTTATGAAGTTAGGATGGAAATTAAAAGTTTAAATAGAATTGATTACTTTATTTGAAGTCCTCCTGGATGTAAAGACATTTACAAGAGAGCATTAAGGAAGTTATTTAATAGTTTATATGAGATTGTTCTTTCTATTTCCTATTTTAATTTTTTACTTACAATGTTAATAGCTGTTCTCTTTGGAGTAGTGAATGTTTATGTGTTGAAAGTTTATCTTGTTACAGTAAAAGCTGTAAAGAGTCTAATCTCTATTTTAGGTGATGGTGGAAAAGAGAAGCTGATTCCTTTAATTCAAGGCCCTTCTGACACCAGAGACTTACACAGCAGTAAATGGCTCAATGAGAGTAGAAAGCCAGAATCTCTCTTAGCTCCAGATTTGGTAGCCTTTACAATCCAAATTCCACAGTATATGGACTACTGCCATAATTCTGGTAAGTGCAAAACTCTTGTTAAGCTGGTATCGCTTTACATTTTTCCTATCCAATTTAATTTTCAAACAAGGGGCTTGACATAAAATGTGCCAAATGCCCAAGTATCTTTTTCACATGCTGCACCACATTATACTTTTACTTTAGCTCACTGTGAGACACCAAAACTAAAAGCAGCATTTTGATGTATGTCTGCTTCAATAGGGAATGCTTCGTTGACTTTGGTCGCGTTTTAAATTATTTATACAGAATCTTTTGTAAACTTTTTTGAGGGGGCAGGATCCATATTGAGAATATTAGTTCTGTTCTTTCTCCCTTTATCTGTTGGGTTGAGCTTCTTATACAGAAGTTGACATACTGAATTCAAAATGATTGATATAAATTTGCAGCATAATTTATAATTAAATTAAGAATTTTTTATAATAAAATTGCTTAATAATAAAAAGCATTTAAAAAATGCTACAGAGCACACATTTGACATCATCAAACTTGTGGTGGAATTAAATGAAAAACAAGTTAATATTGGCTGCTTGGATAATTTAAGGGTGATGTTGATTTTCTGGGTATAAATACTCTTACCTGACATTCTTATGGTTTCTGTGGGCTTTAAATAAAACATTGACCTGTTTTAAGAAACACTGACAATTTTGAAATGTATCTAGTTTAAAATAAATATAATATAGTTTGTGAAATACACATGGGTCTAGGTTTTCCTGTCGATATGATGCATTTTAAGTCATGCTTTTGTATTTTTAAAAGTTTATCCTGTTGCAGTTCTAAGAGTGAAATCAAATAGGGGAAAAAAAACAAGCCAAAAAAGCGTCTAGTTCAGGGAAAGAAAAAGAATTAGCTGACCACAGTATTATGAAACACAAAAGTAAACTGAAGTGTGCTTTTTTTCTCTTAATTTTTTTCATGTTGTTGAGTGCCATTAGTCTGTAAAGTAACAGTGAATTTATTACCATCTTTGTAATTTTTATGTGCATATACAAGCAACATTTGATTCTTATGCAAAGTAAATATTTGTAAGCACTGTGCACTCCAGCAGTTGTTAGGTTATTTTTTCGGTAACTGTACTTGTATATTTCTTGGAAAGCATCATGTTGGAAATATTTATAGCAGTGTTTTCAGAACAATTATCTTAAGTTTCTGCCCCTAAAACATTGTTGAAAAGCAATTCATGATTCAACAGTCTCTGAATGATTCAGATCCATGCATATCTGTTGCACCTTTTGTCTCACTTAAATAGGTTTTAAATGTTTTTGCTTCAGGCCACAGTGATCACATACATTTTAGCTCATCGGTGTTATGGATAGTCCAATTAGAAAGCAGAGACTGCTTGATAGGTTGTGACAGGAGATGCCCACGAGAATTAAGGCACTGACAAATGAAGCGCCGGCCAGACTCATATGCAGTGACTTTGAGAGGCAGAAAATTGGGTTGTAGTAGACAAATGTCTGTGGTGCCTGTTTTGTAGATGAGTGGAGATACTTCAAAATGCTAACGTTTTAGAACTGAAAATTTACTGGATGCTTCACCCCAGTGCCTCAGGAAAGTCGTATGGATTCTGTATACTCCATGGTAGTCGCTAACCTGCATGCTCAGACTCTAGCTCTGCTTCTCCAGATCTGTAAGGTGGCACCTGTGCCTGACAAATGAGAGAGGAAAGCTGACTGTGTTAAAGCTTTGGTCCCAGTGCACATGAGGAATAGTGTAATGCAAATGATTTGGTGTTTTTTGTTTTGTTGGTTTGTTTTTTTTTTTAAATATAAATTAAACTAGGAAACATCAGTGTTTAAATTATCTCAGGTTCTATGCAAAGGATGAGGGACTTAATTAAAGCCTTCGCTCTCAAATACTTGCTGAAGGAACTGAGGCAATTTAATAAGAGAGTTGTGGCTATCCTTTTCATTACGACTGTGAAAACTACATGGAGAGAAAACATGAAGTGATTTGAGAGCATAAAAATGCTTTTGCTGTCAGTTGCAGTCACTTCTGGGAATTAAGAAAGCTATACTGGATAATTTGACAGCAAATTCAACTTATGCCTCAGGGGAATAAAAGGGTCGTTTAGAGCTGTACTGCTGGAGATGATTGTGCAGTACTGGAGTTGTGCTATTTGAGTGCTTTATCCTAATACTGTTAGATAATGATGTTCTGGAATAGGAATTTGACTACAGAGAAGAGGGAAGAGAGTCATGCAGCCTGCTTGTAGAAAGAATGAAAAAAGCTGTTCAGGAGAGATGAGAAAAATAACCTAGAATCGTTCAGTGTTTTCAGATTGGAGATAAGACCAGGATTGGCCAAGTCTTCTAACTCTACAGTAAAGTGCATATACAAATAGCTGTA